TGAAAGGACTAGCTCAAGCATCTGGTTTGGGTAACAAGAGCCCAAGCAAACACATTGAGGTAATACTAAGCTGTTTTTGCTGCAAATGCACACATTCCAGGGCTCATTTCCATGTAGTGATTCTATTGGGGACAGGTAAGTCCCACACAGGGCCACCTTTTCACCCTGGCAGGGCCCCTTAAATTGGCCACCAGATTTGAGCTTATTAGGCTTTCCATGATTTACGACCATTTAGTGTTACCTTTTCTGTCCCACCACACCTGCTACTCCTCTTGGTCTTCTTGATTGCACAAATGCCCAGACCCTACATTTTCCCATTTAACAGAATTACAATCTACATTGATCTCATATATATTGTTATAGAGTAGAGTAATCTACAAGTCAAAGAGCTCAACACAGACAGGAGTTTTACTGAGTACATGACAAGGCTGATCTTCAAGGTTTTGTTACCCTAAGCCCTACGACTAAGTGGGGGCCATTTTTAAAGGGCCATCCTGGGCTGCGGCCATTTTTAAAGGGCCAGTATTAACCAGCTGATAAGGGGCTCCACAGGGGTATGGCTTAACTACAAACCCGATCATAGCTCACTCGGCTAAAGGAGCCATTTATTCAGCGTAAGGTAAATACAGGACATACCCACAGTTTAAACCTCCTAGTCTTTTAACAACCACAGATTTAAATGTCTGCATTTGAATGCCTATAATCACTGGTGGCCTCCCAGCACTGGAGGTCAAACAGGGCAAATATTTTAGAAAATGACATGCCTAGAGGGGAAATCTGGGCAATCCTGGTCTACCGGCAGGATTGGACATTTCCTCCTCTCACAACTGTTGTGGTAGTTATGAAGTATTTTGCGCAACCGATTGAGGAGGCTTTAATTGCTGAACTGACCAACTATATGGTCCTCACTTTAAATTTCCATAAAGTTTCTAGTTGCCTATTACACTTGGAAACTGAGTAACCTTACAAGTTATTGTAACACTGGCTACAGTGAGGCTAAAACTCAGAGGAACACAAGGCCAATCAGCTTTAGGAGAATATCTCTCTAGCCACTGACTGACTGACTCAGAGTAAAAAGAACACAAATCGCTGGGCTGTTTCTCATGGAAGAAAGTCACAAAGGTAACACGCCCACTGCTATGTTTCACAAAGAATCTTCACAATGTTTAAAACCACAAGTATGTGCAGTGATGGGGTGAAGAATGGCATCCCCTGCCTTGGAGCGCAGATGCCTTACAGGCATCATACCGAGTGTCTGACTCACATGGAACCATACCATACATCCAGCGAGTTTGTACTTATACATATTGTCAGGCAAAGAACGAAAATCTTTTTAGCCTTCACCTTTAGAACTGTGGTGCCTGCACGGAAGCTTGACAAATTTTTGGCTAATTTTGGTCTACTTTTTTTTTTTGCTGTCCTTGGCTTGCCCGTGCGACACTTGTGAAAAAACGATTATGGATTAATTGAAACACAGAGCTGGAAGTTAAAATTAGAACCAAATGCCAAAAAAAATTGTTACTCCTGACAGTGGGTATGACTTCAAAATCCTCCCTATCTCTTTGTCATAGCTTGTCAAAAGTGTTCCAGTTACTTCATAAGCAAATGCAGGAATAAATACTTTTCTTCAATTTCATGTGTTGAGCAAACAAACAATGGAGGGAGCAGAATCTCATACTTATATATATCAACAGACTGATAATGATATTTACTTGTCAAAATGAAAATGACAGGTTTCAATTCCCTCATTTAGTTTGTGTGTTATGTGGACGTATGTACACAAGCAAATCATTTCCATCAGAAAAAGGTGAATTGTGTAAAATTCATCTCTATAGAGTCACTGTTTGGTTTCATATTAACAGTCACAGACCTGCATAAAAGTTAGTATAGATGTTCTGGAATTTTGCAATATAATTTGTAATAATTCCTGCTGTCAAAACTCAGAGTAGAGACTGTATGGAGTAGATAAATTACTAATGATTTTGTTTATATATATAGAATATACACTGTACCAACAGGCCCAAGATGGCTTCCTGATATACACTAAACCTATATCATCTGTAAACTGTCCTTGTACTCAGGAAGATTTAATGTTATCACCGTTATACAAGGTTATACACGTGTACAGGACTTATACTATGTGTATACTCTTATACTATAACTTATAGGACTCACATATGTATCATGTATCCACTGCTAGGGTTATCTAGATCAGGTCCAAGTCTAGATCCAGGTCAACAGGATCAGGTCCAGGTCTGAACCTGAACCTGGATCTGATTATAGTATTACAGTAAAAAAATAAGGTAGTGCAACACTGTGTATCATATTTTGGAGAGCGAGACACAAGCATAGGTCTCTGTGAGTGTAACAAATTATGTCTAAATCCACACACTGTCTTGGAACTAGATACATAGTTATTTTCAATATACAAGCATATGAATTTAGACTAATCTACTTTGAATCAGCATCGTTTCTGTTACCTTTTAAGACCAGGTTGCTTAATAAGATGAAAATATAATAAATAGAAATGTTAATGATATATTTGTACTTTGTTACGAGTAAAAAAAAGGAATTGAGTCACAACTTTCAGGTTTTTTCGACTCAGTTCTTGGATGTGATACTGTGGGACCAGGTTTAGCTGAACACCAGTGGTGTCCACTGCACAACTTGACCACTCCAACTCAGCATACATGAAATAGTTGTGTGCCTGGCCCTGCACCATTCCTAATCCTATTATCCATGCTCACTACACATCTTGGAACAATAATTTCTTGACCTCCCAGCTTCCTTCCTTTTGTAGGAATAACCCCCTAATCTTTCTGGAGCTTTCTAACTCTGCTGTCCTTGGTAGAACCCTCACAGTTCATATATCTATACAAGAATGACAGAATCTGAGCAGAGTACTAACCACATCCATAAGAGTATCTTATTTGATCCATGTAGTGAGAACCATCTACAGCAATCAACAAAAATGACCACTACGTGACCTTTAGGAAGAATACTGCGGTAGCTTTAGGGGTCGTCTGGATGCTTAATATAGCGGAGAGGTGACAGAATTGTATGTGATTGGGTCAGTGACGGAATTGGGAGCCCCAGTGCAAGCCGCAATGTTTCTGCTACAAGCAATTGCCCCGTACCCAAACAATGCCGACATTCCATCCAACTTGACTGACCCTGGGCAGTTCAAGCAGTGGCTAGGGAATTGCATTTGTCCAAAGAAGTGCACCTAGGGGGAAAGTATAAGCCTTTAGTTTCTGTAAAAGCAGAACGGCAAGTCATTTTTGCTACACATGCTCTCTAGTATTGTAGTAAGGCTGATTCAACAGATAGCATATTGAACTGTATTTTAGGACAAGGATATTCTTGGTTTGTTTAGGTACTCACCTCCCTTTCTCATTCAACAGGACCCTTTCTAGGCCTCTAGAACAAGTAGCATATGCTGATAGGGTCACCTAGTGTACATAAACGTCCACTGAACTATCCCAACATTTTTACCCCGGCCATTTTCATTCTACATCAACAATCTAGGTGAAAGAACGTTTTTTCTGCACAGAACGGATTTCACTTCTTTAAACACATGTACATACAAAATTACTTACTTTGTACAAAATAATATTGCCAAAGATTATTCATATCCACTTTGCCTATGCCATGGTTTAACGGAATGGTAGCAATATTCAAATATGAGACCATAACCATCTTGAACTGTGGCCATTTCTAGATTAAAAGGAGAATAAACAATAATGACAAAAAAACTTAAGTATTCACCTTTAAATCTCTATCAACTTCAAGGACATCATGACTAACTAACAATCTAGCTGACTTTTCCTTGAACGTGTACTTCATCCTATTTCTAGATGAACATTTCCCTGACGATCGACAGTAGCTCATTATAACATCATAATGATCATTATAACATGTTGTTAACTCTACAAGAAGTAACTGTGAGGCTGAATGTGAGTTTCTGAAGGTACCACATTTCTCAGTAAAGTAAGGGAGAACATTTGTATATCATTTTCACAAGTTTTTCCCATTCAAAATGGGTTGATCCACGAAATGAAACATACATCTTTTTTCCCATTTGTTTGCACTGTTTTAGCCTCCATCGTACACTCCAAAGTGGCAAACTTTAAACAATATCATGCCTTTCCTCAGAATAAGAAAACCAACATCAAAATCATGAAGGACATACACATTAAAAGTACTAAATCCCTCCACCTGCCGACATACGGTTCACAGAGGTTGTGTTTGTAACATTTATCCAGAGGGGCCAAAAAGTGACAGTAAAGCATTTCTCAGTTATTTGCCCAACAATGAAATGCCTGGAGTGCCGGAAATTTTTTCTCTCTCCCCTGCGGGCAGAAGTAGTAAAAAGGCTCTTTAACCTACACCTAATCAGTCCCAACACATTTGTAATGGCTACCACACTTCAGAAGACACGCCGGACAACAGAAATAGCACAGCCTCACTGCTCACTGTGTCAACTCTAGTAAGACTCTTGATTGAAGTTAAAGGGACAAAAAAGGCTGTCACATTCTTACCACGTGCGTGCCTGTCAGCTGACTGCACTTTATTGCGAGCAACAGAAAAACAGCAACAACTGTAGGTGTAAAAGGTATTTGAAGATAAAAGCAAACTATTTTGTCCGGGCTGTTTGCGCCACCCACTCTGATAATTGTGGACTTAGTGTTCCTTTGTGTAGCGGCTGGAAAAACAAGTGCTGAAGAAGTGTATCCACCCCCAGAAGGTTCTCACATGACCCCCCCCTCCTCCGCCCACGTCGCTCACCCCACCCCCCTAAGTCTTGTGACCATGACTCACCCGTCGACACCTCCCTCCCCCCCACTATCACATGGACTAGTAACACTACGCAGTTTCTCCTATTCCCAATGACCCCCCCTTCCCACAGGTCAAAGGTGAACACATGTTAACCTGCCAGCAATAGTATTCTTGACAGACTAATGTTTCCTCCAAAGCAAAAGAAGAAAAACTCTGCTCACCCATTTGCGTGGCCTGCCTCTGGGTTTCTTCGGCTCCTGTCAGGCAAAACAGACAAAAACAGCGCAGGTAAGTTGTGAGGCAACGTTAAACACAGCATTAGATGCGCTTTGCACAAGCAACCGGCAGGTCCTTTTGAAGTGACAACTTTCTGAAGCACTTTCCGCCTACCCCTAAAACAAACTGGACAGCTCTGTTTGCTTGTCTCCTTACAGTCATTTATGAAAATGAAGCTTATCCAAGCGATCAGCGGTGATGATTTAACTAGTACATGCTGGTGGACAGCACACCTTTGGATTGGGCCATTTAAACCCACAGAATGCTTGAATTGTCGGGCCCAAATATGTACATTAAAACAGTGGACAAAGGCCAGGACAAACTGCCATTAGTCTAAGGTAATGTCTTTTGTTGCTGATAAACCGATGGGATGGTTATTCATTGCCAACCAAAGTCCAGAAACGGAGAGGACTGATGGCTAGAGTCAAATGAGCTGTTTCCGAAAGCTTTGGCCACAGCCAGCCCTAATGACTGGCTGCAAATCCCATAAGAAAACATTTGCATTCTTCTGATTTTAGCCCTTCACAAGCTATTACACATTTCAACAATGGGGAGCGATGTGAGCAGGCATTCTGTGCACAAAACAGTTGTTAATACTGCTAAATGCCAAAAGATACACAAACCTTAGCTTGCTGGCTAACAGCTAGCTATGTTTTCTACTGTAGGTGCCTGGCATTGGAATACAGGCATCAATGAAGATGGTAGGGTTGTGTGTACATTTTAAGTTTGGTATACAATTCTAACACCTCATCATCTGTATTGAATGACTACATAAAAGGAATTGATAAGTCAAAATACGCCATGGGCAGTATAGCGCGACCAGGAATGTTGTCTAAATATTTAGGTATTTTACACAGCGTTCAGATTATCACCTCATCGGAAAGCTACCGATTTTTCCACTGCGGGACGATTTCTGTGTTTGTCTGTGTGGTTTGTTGACTATTTTCCTGTTCCATGTCAACACAGCTACGTTTTCCGACACGTCTACGTACTCTAAATTAAAATGGTAACGAACAGTTTCCAAATAGAAGCAGGCGAAACGAGTGGGATCCGTCAATTCATGGCATACCTCGGACCATATCACCGGTATGGTCCGCTTTGGGGCGTCCTAGGAATTACCAAAAGAAAGATTATTTCCAAACGACTTCATTGCATAATTCTACGTACATTTTTTGTACACTTCAAAGCAATAAATACTGTTATATACAAACATTGCGACGTTTTTTTAGAGACGCCGAATGACATATTTTCTACCGAGAAAGCGCACCCAGTCGGGTACAATCATTGTTGAGCCGCCTTCGTGGCCTTTAAACCGTAAACTTTTTGTTTTCTTTGGAAATATTACACTTCTCTAAGTGCAAACATAATTACAGAAGGATTGGATAATGCTATTTAAAGACGACATGTCCGGAATGAAGGAGATTTCCTAGATAACGCAGTGCTTGAAACGACACTGGATCTACCTCGGGAGCGGCACTCATGGCGGCAGAGCGCCTTAGGTCGTCTGCTAGCAGACGACATGAAACTCCCGCGCAAAATGTTACCTCAAGGGCTAAAACTCGCCAAGGTAAAGATCATGAAATAGGTCATGAACTGTTAGGCTTTGGATGGTCAGACACAAATGGTAGTGCCCCTGCTCGTCTTCCAAACACAGGGGCAGTGGCTAAAATGCATTTGCTTATCAGTGGTCAAGCCGATTATAGCCAGGAAGCGCAAAACACACAGCTCAAACCTCACCTCATAACCAATGCAGCGGCTCTCCATTCCCCTAAAATCGCTTCTTTACCCTTTAAAAATGCGTGCATTTGTCACAGATTCCTCGTGGTGGGAGCCTTGTGAGTCTGTCCAGATTGTCACAACGAAAATCACAGCCACAGCGGGAAAGGGTAACGATCAAGGGATATGTAACCGAGCAATGCAAACCTTCTGCGCTCGCTTGGAAGGGTTCTTATTCTTGCTACCGGGTGGTCTTCCCCGCGGCCTCTTCACTACCGGACCTTCGGGAGGCTAGAAAATCGGGAAATACAGACAAACCGCTGTCAGAATAGCACAGAAATTATGACAATACAACCACAGAAACCGCAGAGCAAGACTCGGAAATGGGTACTCAGCTTGTGTACACACTTTACTTTCCGGATTTTTTCTCGGCCTGCCGCGACCTCTCTTCACGGGCTGCGGCGCTGCCTCCTCCGAAGTCCCGGGCTGGCCCTCGCCCGCCTCCCGCTTCGCTTGGCTCATTTTCTCCGCCTCAAAGTTGGGTCCGTTCGGTTGCACAGGGTCCACGGCAGGGAAGGGTAGATCCTCTCTCGCCTCGTCCGCGAAAGGGTCAAACACTTCGCCGCCTAAGTCAAAACCCGAAATTTTTGCTGTCGCTCACGGGAACCGCCGAGGTTGACCAAAACGCGCCCGGCCCGGACTTGTCGTCGGGAACGGGAAAACCCTCCTTTCGCCAACGGCAACTTCTCTGGGACTGGCAACTCCCGTAAATGCACGTGGATACCGACCCGGTGAGTAATCGAGCGAATATTCCGAAGGTATAGCCGTGGGTGGATAAACCTACATGAGTGCTGGCACAACAGCCATGGGGGCCTCAGGAAAACACATTCAAAATAATAACAATAAAATAGCGCCCCCGAATGAGATAAAATTATGCTCACGTGAGGGGATGTGACGGGCCCAGAAGGAATCCTGCCCTCTCATTGGTCAGTCCCGGGAAAAGTCTGACAGCGACGCCTGCGCACAGGGTGAGTGCTGAGCCCCTTGTCGATTCCAACCCTTTGATTCCGCCGCTGAATGACATCTGCTTATATCGATTACATTTTTAAAGCAGAAGCAAGGAGGATCATCACGACCAAGCATTCCCACGATATTCGCATTTATAAACATATATAGCAGACGATTGGCGGTCCACAAATATTCCTTTGTTTCCAAACATTTCTTTTTTTTCTCAGGTTGTACGTAACTGTGGACCTAGAGTAGAATGTCTTTCAAAATAAAAATTGTAAACACAATTTTAAACTTATGAAACTCGTCAATATTTGTCAAAGTGACATGAGTCCGTACTCACCGTGGTGCGATGTTGGGACCGCCCAAGTATAGACCCGCCCACTCATACACCCGGCAGACCTACTGGCGACCAGAAACATTCGCGACGTCCAAACTTGTTACACGCTCTGCCATTTGTCAATTTCGGGGGATTACCTCCCGGTTGGGCCAATCGTGTGGCGGTTTTCTTACGTGTAACAGTATCTCACGGATAGGATTCGGGGACCACCTACCCCCATGCCCCAGAGAGGCGATAATTCATTTGCAGTTACTTTTTGTTTTGTTTGTGAGGAGTTTTTAATTACCTCCCACGAGAGGACTTTCTTTTACTGGCCAGGATTTTTAATCTCATTGGTTTTAGTTACTTATGACAGGTGTACGTGTGTGGACAACGAGGTGATTGAATTCTTTGTGCATTAAATTAATAATGGTTCTTAGCTTCCACATTAAAAAAGTTCAGCTCCTGCTTCCTTCACCTACTCTCCAAGCAGAGGTTTGGGTTTGGGGTTATTTTTGGCGTCTTTTCGGGCTATTTCATCGAGGTTTCTTGCACTGGATTTTTTTTTACCCAAAAAAATCCATTTGTCACCCGAAGTTTGACTGGCGTAAAAAAAATACCAGTACAAGAAAGAAAGCCCGATAAAAAAACTAAAATATGTCAAAAATAAGCCGAAGCCTGCCTCTACTTGGAGCAGAGAGTGGCCAAAAGAAAACCGGGTATATGATAGAAAAGTTACAATTTTCTACCCCAACCTCTGCTTGGAGAGTTACGGTCCTGTACACTACTCTCCAAGCAGAGGTTTGGGTTTTGGGTTATTTTTGGTGTGTTTCTAGACTTTTTATTGGGGTTTCTTTTTTACACTGAAATTCTCATCTTTTTGGGGGGATGGGTGAAAGAAAAATTCCAGTGCAAAAAAGAAACCCCAATAAAAAAAAGTCTAAAAACACACCAAAAATAGTAGTACTAGTAACCCAAAACCCAAACCTCTGCTTGGAGAGTACATGTACACGGCAGTGTGCAGTTTGTGTGATACACAATTCACTAAAGACTAATCCCCAGGATTACGCAATTTCACCATTCACCCTATCGACACAGGGCACCTCCATCACACAGGCTTTCCCCATATACCGGTAATACAACACTACCTGCTGTTGATGCGAACATTACCAAGATTACTCATACCGCCCTCAAGTTACTTCGCCCTCCGCTTTTAAACCGTAACATTTCCCCAAAATTGAAAACAGCTTGCGGTTGAAGCGACATATCTGGAATGCCTGGTCTTTTGTTCCAACGATGTAGCTTGAAAATTGAAGCGCTGTTTTTTCTGAGCAGGTCCTTGAGTTTGCATGGGGGAGGCTGCAACCGACACCTTGTACTGCGGTCTATACATTCACCTGGCTTTTCTGTCCAGCCTACCCAGTTAATAAACTTCCATTCTTTGAATCACTCCTCCTGGCATTTCTTTGTGTATATTACATTCTATCCTGTTTTCTTGGGTTACAGGGAGGAATTCTCAGTGTAAAGTCAATTGACTGACACTTGACCTCAGACAAAGCGAGTTGAAGGCCTGAGTACGCGGGTGGATCAGCCTTCAGACCCGGCATTCAGACATGCAGACCAACCGGGTACTCTCCAAGCAGAGGTTTGGTGGAGAAGATTTAATCTTTCTATGAGATGCCCCGTTTTTGCGTCGCCACTCCCCACCACGACAAAAAAACGAGGCATATCATAGAAAGATTCACTCTGATATATACACCCTCAGTATTAAATTTAAAGTACTGGCAGCAATATGTTGATCTGGTCTCCAAACGGTAATGAATTTATTTTTTTTAACACCACTATATCATCTCACTGATTATTACCTGTATAGATACATTTATCTCTGTATATTTGTCTCCCTGTTTTTAGATTTATGTAATGATACCTATGGTGGCTGAAATGAATAAATAGATAAGGTCACAATCTTCTCTACCAACCTCTTCTGAGTTGTAGCTTCCTTCACTGAGACTTCTTAACAGAGGCGGAACTCCCTCCGCGGCATATCTCCTTCAGTGATTTTAAGAAGCTTATATCGTACACACACAATCGTCTCCACTCCAAGAAGGAGGCCAGGAGATAGCTTTGCAGCTGCAGCTGCTCGTGAGAGATTTGCAGCTGCTCGTAATCCGATGCAAATCGGAGTTCGTTTCGCTCTTGGTCAATCTTTTTTAGTGCAAAACTGCTGGTGGTACTATATATGATTAGCAACCGATATCTTTAAACAGGTGCGCACACACACTCACACACGTACAGTGACAAACAAACAAACAAACAAACAAACAAACAAACGAGCCTGAACAATTACACACATTGTCATACGTACAGACACAAGCGCATTGCGTTATTAAACAATTAAATAAAGGCTCATTACCAATAAATGAATAAATAAATAAGTAAATTAATTACTTTAAAGAATAAGAGGTCGGCACATACGACGGAAAGTGTGACTACATAGTTTATATGTAGGAAAAACTAAATTATACGTATAGACTATTATCCATAATTTATCACCTTATATGTCTCAGGAACGTGTATAATGTCTTTATTATTGACCTAAACGACCCCCTAATTGGTAGTATGTAGACCGTTTCGCTCATACATTTCAATGGAATCATTTCCTAGGCCCAAGCAGATGTATGGCTTCGGCTTTCGACGCCTTGGCACCAGTAGACGTACAAAATAATTAAGCTGAAGCCATACATCTGCTTGGAGATCAATCAATCAGAGTGCACCAATCAGAGTGCACAAAACAAGCCGAAACCATACATCTGCTTGAAGATCAACCAATCAGAGTGCAGCATTTTGCAGCTGCATGTATATAAAGGCGTCTTCGTTTTCCCACTTGCCGCATTATGTTAAAAAGCAGAATTCCGATGGGTCTGAGTTGATGAGCTGCACGGGACCATGAGTGTGCGAGCACATGACCGAGATTAAAGGCTCTGCCCGACCAAACAGAAACTAGGAAGTGAAACAAACGCCCCCACAAACGGTAAGCGCTGTCAAACGTGTGTAGGCTGTGCAGGACCATGAGGAACATGAGGAGGGGGAACGGAACTTAGGCCGACGCTTGGAGGGTCAAAAGTGACCTGGTATCGCCCTTTCGCCTCCATAGCATGCCAAAAACTGGGGGTTCGGGGGTCTTCAGGGTCTTTAGGAGCTTTTTATGCGCTATTTTCTGATTGCATATATATAGACAACATAGCCGGCCTGGTTGAATTACCCCCATTTTTTTAGAACTGGGCTACTCAGAAAACAGCAAACCCCCAGTTCTATAAGCCTGCTATGGTGGCTACCCCTCATATGATCTTCTAGATGTATCAATTCTCTTCACAAAACGTCGCCAAGTTGGCAAACAGTTCCAAACGCACTTCACTGGTCTGTTCCGGTGGAGCAGTCCTTGGCGAGTTCGCCAGAGGTTTGGACAGGGTCCAAGGTTAGAGTCTTTATTTAGCAGGTACAGCGCAGACGGAGGTCAGGTTTAGACCTTTTTCTCAGCCCCCGTCACATTTGGCCCGTATGTCCATTGCCGACCCACGATACGCGAGGTCCCGTCGAGAATGTCACATCTCCTGACGGGATCAAACACGCTGGGGCTGCTGATCGTGAGTCACCGACACTCCGATGGTTGACATGGAGCCAAGAGTAATCTCCAAGCAGATCATACGGTTGCAAGGCAGTATCCATTGGCCAGAGGAGTCGGTGGCTAATGGACACTCCTCTGGCCAATGGATACTGCCTTGCCACCGTATGATCTGCTTGGAGATTAGCCAAGAGGCAAGTACAATGGTATCTACACCACCGAGGCGTCGTTCTAGTGGAACAGATCTCTTCAATCTAATCTCCAAGCTGATCTTTCGGTGTCTGCAATACAGTATCAAATTGGCAAGACAGTATCAAATTGGCAAGACAGTATCAAATTGGCAAGAGAGGATCAAATTGGCAAGACAGTATCAAATTGGCAAGACAGTATCCAATACACCACCCCAAGCTAGCATAAAACAGTACAAAAGACACCTAACCCAATAAAAACGCCTAAAAGCACGCCAAATATAAACCGAAGCCTAAACCTTTGCTTTGACTCGAGAGTATCTCCAATCCTTGCTTTAGTAGGATTTCAAACATGATACGTACACAGCTCCACGGCCGGACCTTGCAGGTGATTGAGATCACGAGTTGGAAAGATTACGCAATGAGAAAGGTAAAACCCTCCTTTGAAATGTGAGCTGAAGTCGCGTAGGCGTCGGAGGGATACCTTAGGCCATATTAATTTGATTATATGGATGACATCCCCTGGGAACCCAAAAACTGATGCGAGCATGCGAATAAAAAAAGTTTGGCCCCCCAAAAAAGTTGCTTTCATTATGAACTCTACAAATTCATTTCTTTACATTCTCGTCTTTTTTGTTTGATTTTGGCATTGGTATCGTTTTCAAATATTCTTTTTGCAACTTACGGTATATATTTGCTCCTTTCGCAACTGTTTTGCACGATTTACAGTTTGATTGAAAACTTTTTTTTTAAACGGCTGAAAATTCATGCGCGCGTGGATGTCATCCATATA